TGCCCCACAGAGCTTCAGAGGCATTGCCACAGCAAGAAGGCAGACCAGATGTAGAAAAGCCATCTTTCTTTTCCTACAAATCAGACCAAAAGTTAGCCCCTGACTAGAAAATTAATCTGACTAGATTAATTAATCTCACTAGATTAATTTTCTTGGCTAAAATCACCTCATTTATCACTCTTTAGGATGAGGGTAGAGATAACCAACAAGAGTATCTTGAGTCATGGCTGTGCTTGTCTTGAAAGCAATAGTATTCTTGCTAGAGTTGAAGCCTTGGTAAAGTACATTTCTGTGAAGTGAACCCTAGGCTTCCTCTATGTTCACAGTAAAATTGGTGATACATTCTTGTGAAAATATTCAAGCTAATCAAGTTAAGCACTTGGTGAGAAGGTTCTAAAAGTCAACAAGTTCATAAACTGTAGTATTCCTGCCATGATTTATTCTGTTTGTTGAGAGTTGTCTACCAAAGGACATTTGCCATTTTCAGCTCTCTACAATTCCTGGATTCTCACATACACACACCCTAAGTTTGTAGAATTGCCTCCTGTGCCCCAACATCTCCATCTCTGTGCTCATACAGTAACCAAAACTTTTCCTCTATAAATTTTGGTTATGTGATACGTGTTTTTTATTCATTCATTCTTCAACAGATACTGTGATGTGTCAGGCATTTTGCTGAGTGGTTTAGTTCAGTCCAAAGATTCCGTAATTTAAGGACTTGAATCAGTTGGTAATTATAAAATGGGGGCTGGAGGCATGGTAGAATACTTGCTTAGCAAACATGAGGCCCAGAGTTCAAACTCCAGTACTGCCGATATTTATAAAATAATACTGCCATTTATTGGGCACTTGTTAATTTTTCTCAGAAAGATACCTTATATTTAAATTTCTTCTCTTGATTTTTTTACAATTCCATTAAGTAGGTACTTGGTTATTCACACTTTTAAAATGGGGAAACCAAGGTTCAGAGAAGTTGTGTAACTTGTCTAAGTTACACTTGCTGGTAGCAAATAGTGAAACCAGGTTTTGAAGTCAAGTCATCTGATTGCAAAGTGTAAAACCTTCTCCAGTCCTGAGCCAGGTGCCAGTTAGTGAGCCTATTACTAGACTTAGAAGAGAGTTTAACAGTTCTGACCACCCACACAAAGAGAAGCACCAATTTGTGGAGAGGGTTGATTTTGATCTTATACCAAAGCCTTCTTATGCCTTTGCCTTTGAACTTTCAGTACCTGCTGGCTGAATTTTCCTAATTGTGGGGGGATTCCTTTAGAGAAGACATCTGTTGGTACACACCCCTTACCTTCCCTGCACCTGCAGGATGCAGAGTGGCTAGCAGGTGGGCAGGATGAGAGCTGCAGTGTAGGCAACAGCACAGGTGTACTCATTGCTGTACCAGTCCTCCCCAGCAGGGCCTCCCGCCTAGCTAGGTCTGGGGCTGCTGAGCCAGAGCTTCAGTCTTTTCCTGTTGACGGTAATTAGAACCTTTCAGCCTCAATTTCTCATTTGAAAACACCCAATTCACTTAGATTGTCTCCTTGATCCAGTTCACCTGGAGCTATTTAGTTGCTGCAGATCGTTTGGAGGAGAAAACACGCTCCTAAGCCTTCCCACATAAGGGTTAAAAGATCAAGGTCCTAAAAAGTGTTAGGTGGGTAAACTCTGGAGCCAGACCTCCAGGGTTTGAATTTCAGTTCTGTTTCTTACTCATGCAAAATCTGAGTTCATGTGTCTGTGAAAAGGGGATAAAAATAGTGAAGATTAGATGAGGCAGTGCATGTAAAACCCAAGGCAAGCAGGGCCTGCCCCATAGCAGATGCTCAGAAATACCAGCAGTTGTCATCTTCATTAATCTCTTGGCCTCAAACTCCATCTCCCCTGCCTCCATCCTGGGATCTTGCTCTGGAAAGACAGGTCCCCTTTCTGTCCCCCAAACTCTGGGCTCCCCTGTCCTTGATCACCAGGTTATTGCATCCTGTAAGCTTCCATGTCTTTATCTGTAAAATGTGACTGGGAATAATGGAGTCTGCTTCATAAGCGCACTGTGAAGGTTAAGTGTACTAATTCAAGCACTGAGCACAAAGCTTGACGACTATTCACTTTCGTTACTGTTATTCCTGCAGCACAAAAGGCTGCCAGGAAGGGCCTTTGAAATCTTGAAGAGAGAACTAAGAGCCAAAGACCCCAATGTACACAGCAGCATTTGGAGTTCATGAATGCCCAAGTAAGTGTAAGCCTCAGGAGATCTGATACTGTGGCTTGTTCATCACTGTAATGCTGAGCCTGGAATGCCTGGAAGGCACGTGGGGATGTTAAATGAATGAATACAGCAGCAGAGACTTTGGAAATTAATTTGCTCATGCAGCCTGAGAGAATTTTCAAGGCAGCACACTTTTAGATTAAAGCACTCAAACTCAGCAAAATCACCTCTCTGCTCTCCTCTCCTCTCCTATCTTTACCCCAGACTTAAAAAATAAAACCCAAAACAACTCCCATTGTTTGGTATTAACTAAATTCTAGACAGAAATCATCTTTTTTACACCTGACTCCAACCCTGAAAAGCAAGCATTATCATTCCCATTTCACAACTGAGAAGCTGAGATTGAGAGAGATTATGTAATTTGCCCAAAATTACATACTGGTAAATTGCAGAGCCAAGATTTGAAACCTAGCCTATATATGCTTATAAGTGTTCTGATTTTTCTGAACAAGTCTTACCACTTGCCATTTCCTCCAATCCCCACAGGCATAGGAGCAGTTCTGCCTTGCAATCCTCTGGCCTTGATATTATCTGGCCATTACTTTTAATAGAATTAGAACTACTCTCACAATTAAAAGTTGTTTGCTTGCTTGCATTTTCATGAATCTCTTTATATAACCATCTTTTTCACTTAACTTTTGGGAGAGTCAAGTTCCAGAAGTGGTGAGCAGGATATGTTCTGTTTTTAGTTGTTTTAAGACCCTTTTGTTACATAACAGAGGTACAAAGTGATTTTTATAAATTCTTCCCTTAGGAAGCAAGTATTTGAAGTACATGAGTTAGAACAACATCAAGAACCTAAGAAGCTGATGGGTTATGCCTGTAATCTTAGCTAGTCAGAAGGCAGAGATCAGGAGGATCACAGTTTAAAGCCAGTCCCAGCAAATTGTTCACAAGACTCTGTCTTGAAAATGCTCAGCACAAAAAGGCTGGCAGGATGACTCAAGTGGTAGAGTGCCTGCTTAGCAAGTGTAAGGCCCTAAGTTCAGACCCCAGTACCCCAGCCTAGGCTCTGGAAACCAGGAGATTAAGAATGATTCCTAGTGGTGTGTTTCCTTATTTCATGTGGGGATTGCCTACCTTTCAGTCTCTCTCACTCTTCCCTCCCACTGTCTGTCTATCTCTGTTTCTCTCTCTTTCATGCACTTTCTCATTTTCTTTCACCCTATTTATCATCCCAAGATTATTTTCCTGTAAACTGGGGAGGGATAAATGTGAATTCCTATGAAATACCTGCCCCTAAGAATGGTATCAAATACATCAACCAAAGTTTAACCTAGAAAAGCACTGATGATTAAAAAAGCAGAACTTTCTTTTATTTACTCCCTGCCAGAAAGTACTCCCTTCTCTATGGAGTTCTGGAGTGAGAATAAAGTGGATAGCCATTAGATTAAGTGGCTTTTCTCCCTTTCTTTCGCCTTTCTTGATCCTCACCCCAAATCCGTAAGTCTGTGAGGACTATTACTCGCTCTTACCCTTGAAGAACAAGACCTCCTGCCAGGCTGTGCCTGAGGTCAGGCCAGTGAGGAGAGAAAAGTGCACACCCCACTGTGGCCATGATGAAAGCCGCAAAAGCCATCTTGGTCCTTTGACCTACATTGACGCTGAGTCTGTTCCTTTGGTGTCCCTGACTTTGGCAGTGTGGTTAGTTTAACTCTATGCCCCCACCTTGAGTTGAGCTTTGATGAAAAAGTAGTAGGAACATAGTCCTGTCCCTGGAGATTTGGGGTTTTTTTCTTGGAAAAGCATCAACCAAACTAGTAGGGGTAGGAGATCTGGATTCCTGTGGCTTGGGCTAACTTAGGTCCAAAGAAACCAAGTGCCTGTGATCATCATCTTCATCCCCCAAGTGTGGCCATGCCCTCTGGATTCCCTTCTCTTACTCATCCTCCTCCCAGTTAGGATAGCTTCAGAATGGATTGCTCTTGCTTGACCATTAATGTACCCATTCATATTTGAAATTCTTTGGAACTTGTAGATTGCTGCTGCCTGGCTGATCCAAAACCTTTGGCTTTAGAACAGGCAGTAACAAAACAACGTTTAAGCATCAGTGTATTTCCTCTCCCTTGGGATCCTATAAACCTCTCTGAGATTTGCCTCTTTGGCAAATCTGGACCGCAGAGCCTCCTGGCTCCATTCTCCCACAGCACTGTTTCTGTATCTCAGGAATCATTTGGTTGCCTTGATTGTATATCTTGGAACTTTATCTTGGCTTCCTATAATAGGATGACCAGATTTGTGAGCAGGCATCCAAAAGAAGCCAGCCTGCTGCAATCCCAAATGACAGAGTAATAAAGTTTGTGGGTTTCTGTGCTGTACTCTTCTCTGTATACGCAAGACTGTTTGCCTTAGTGCTGCCTCCAGATATTCTGTGGATGGTCTTTGGACATGTGGTGCTGAATATTACCATGCCAGAGAATTTCAACACACTTTGCCAGTTTTGACATGACTCATTCGTCCAGATTTTTATATTCAAAGAGAACCAAGCTAAGAAGCCTGATGAAGGTGCCTCTCCTGTTTCCTCTCTTCACCCGACCATTTCTCAAACCAGTGAAGCCCCTTTAGTCAAAACACTGTAATTGGTGCCTCTATCTAGGAAAGGCTTTTTAGAACAGTTTTCAAATCTTCCTCCCTTGACACTGATTCACCTTTAAAAAAGCAGCTCTACCAAGCATGGGTCTGAAACCAAAGAAAGAGCTTGACGTGAAATGCAAAGACCTAATGTGCTCTTTTCCCTTTCACTATAGATTTGCTGACCATGAGGGAATATCACTGTTTGCTTCAGTTACTGTGTCCAGATTTCCCACTGGAGCTCACTCAGAAAGCAGCCAGGTATGTCTCCTAGATTCTTAAAGCGAACTCCTCACTCTGTGGACTAGGGCTTCTTAGAGAAATCTGAACCATATACAAGACAGAAGGGGAGAAACTGGTGTTCAGAGAGGGGTCTACTTGAGGTTTACCCAAAAACATAATACTTTCTGTGCTTCCTAAGGAAAACCAAATGATCCTTAGTGGTTTCTGAGGGGAACTTCAGGGTCTGAAGACAGAGCCAGAGGGTGTTAAGATGAAGAGGCAAACACACACACACACACACACACACACACACACACACAGGGTCTGAAGACAGAGCCAGAGGGTGTTAAGATGAAGAGGCAAACACACACACACACACACACACACACAGGGTCTGAAGACAGAGCCAGAGGGTGTTAAGATGAAGAGGCAAACACACACACACACACACACACACACACACACAGGGTCTGAAGACAGAGCCAGAGGGTGTTTAAGATGAAGAGGCAAACACACACACACACACACACACACACACACACACACACACACCAAGAGTTAAGATGAAGAGGCAAACACACACACACACACACACACACACACACACACACACACACACACACACACACACACACACACACATATTCTGAGAGAGGGCCAAGAGTGAGCAGTGACTCACACATTCTGAGAGAGGGCCAAGAGTGAGCAGTGACTTGTAATGGAGAAGGTTGAGGTAGGGGACTGGAAAGGTGTGAAGAACATAATACCCCAATTGAGAGAAGGGCATATTGTATCATTTATGCTAAATGAAGATTTCCAAGATTAGCCTAGGACCAGAACTTGGCAGAGATGGTTAAGAGTCCCTAATTTCCGTGTTTGGTTTCATTGCCATTCACATTTTTTAACCAATTGACTATTCCTCAATTAACTTTAACTTAACACAAAATCTGAGCTAGGGTTGCAAATGCAAGTGTAGCAGAAAAAAAGAAAAATCTTGTTTTCTGAAAAATGTCCAGCTTCCATAAATCATATTGAAGGCATTTACCTTCATTGTTCCATTTAAATTTTCTTGCTTATCTCAATTATCTCACTTAATCCTAATAAAAGCTTAGTTCCCACTACACTGAAGAGGAATCTGAAGCTCAAAGAGGTCAACTATTGTTGCCCTAATTTACTAATGTTTGTAAATAGCAGAGGCATGAGTTGTTTTAATACAGAGACTTTGCTCTCTGTGTCCTTCATGCTCCTGCCTCTGCATCATGCATTATTTCTTCTCTGTGATTTGGCCTCCACAAATCGTGCTTAATTGTCTATACTGCACTAAGAAACACTTTAATGCTCCTGAGACAATCTAGCCAGCCAGCCACTGACTTGGAAATACATTGCTAGCAGCAACAGATGCCAGCCTTACACTGCGGCAGGGTGTTTTGCAGTTCACAGCTCACAAACTAATTTTGCTGGTCTTGTGTAAAACCTGTTTAGTAATCACACACCCAAAATTTTGTAGATTTTTTTTTCCCCTTTCTTCTTCACTGGATACTTATTTTTCCCAATGGCAACTGGCAACTGATAAAAACTCTAGTTCGAGTTTTTTTATTTTCATTTATCTGAAATTGAAAGGAGGTTTGGATTTCTTTTATTTTGTTTGTTTTCTTGAGACAGGGTCTCACTATGTAGCCCAGGACACTCAAACTCAAGATCCTCCTGTCTCAGCCTCCTAAATGCAGAGATTACAGGTATGCACCACCACACCCAACTTGAAATTTTTTCTTTGCTAAGAAAAAAAAAAAAAACAAAAAAAAAGCCATCATGGGAGATTATCTCTTGTAACTTAAAAGCAGCCAAGTAGAGTTAGCTTTAAATTTCCATAGTATTTATTCTTTTAAGTACAGATCATTTTAAGAAATACTCAGCCCCACTGTTTTTTTTTTTTTTTGTATGTGGTGGGAGGGTGGAAATTCATTATTCTAAAGACTGACTCAACAATAAAAGCACTACTCTAACTAAAGAATTCCTAAATAAACGACCCATGCATAAGAGTGTGTATGTTCCAGGAGAGCAGGCAGGATCTTTACTGGTCTTGTTTGCTGCTAAGTCCTTGTCACTTAGTATTATGTCTAGTACCAGACACTCCATGAATGTCTGCTGAATAGATGTATGAGTGAATATTCCCTGTCTGGCATTTTACATGGTTCTAGTAGTTCATGATTTGAAGTAGCTGTAAGAATAAGAGTTAGTTAGTAACTATATCTTATATTCAGTTGTTCATATATTTATTCATCAAATATTTCTTTTTAATAGTTTTTTTTGGGGGGGCATACAATTCACATACCATACCCTTCACCTAAAGGCTTTTAGTATATTTCCAGAGCTGTGCATCCATTTCCACAATCAATTTTAGAACATTTTCATTACCCTAAAAAAAAATCCTCTACCCCTTAGCCATTACTCTCCATTCCCCCTCCCCATTTACCATAGCTCTAGGCAACCACTAACCTACTTTCTGTCTCTGTAGGTTTGCCTATTCTGGTAACTTCAAATAAGTAGAACCATATAATACATGGTTCTTTTGAGACTGGTTTCTTGCACTCAGCATAAAGTGTTCAAGAATCATCCCTGTTGTAGCATGTGTCAGTACTTTATTTCATCAAATTGAGTGCCAATTTGTATGCTATTCTGCACACAGAATATAGTCATCAATAAGATATAGCTCCTAAGGGCATTTAATTTAAAGTGGGACCATTTGAGTACTGATCACTGCCTACCACCACTTTTGATATGTCATCTTGGTTTCTGTCACTCCAGAATAGCCACTGTCCTTCTTTTCCATTCCTGATGGCATCTGGCAAAGCTATGAGGATGAGCCTTCCTTATGATTCTTAGGCCCCCCAGCAGTTACAGCTTTGCATTTGCCCCACCCATTTTCCCAGATCCTTCCAAACAATCCAGTATATGTAACACTGTGATTAGAGTATGTGATGGAATTCTCTAAAAACCACCAGTTTTTTTTTAAATTTTTATTTTATTCATATGTGCATACAATGTTTGGGTCATTTCTACCACCTTCCCCCTGCCCCCTCCCTTACCCCTCGCTACCCGGCAGAAACTTTTTTTGCCCTTACTTCTAATTTTGTTAAGGAGAGAGTATAAGCAATAATAGGAAGGACCAAGGGTTTTTGCTAGTTGAAATAAGGATAGCTATACAGGGAGTTGACTCGCATTGATTTCCTGTGCATGTGTGCTACCTTCTAAATTAATTCTTCTTAACTAACCTTTTCTCTAGTTCCTGGTCCACTTCTCCTATTGGCCTCAGTTGCTTTAAAGTATCTGCTTTAGTTTCTCTGCGTTGAGGGCAACAAATACTATCTAGTGTTTTTAGGTGTCTTACCTATCCTCATCCCTCCCTTGTGTGCTCTTACTTTATCCTGTGATCAAAGTCCAATCCCCATGTTGTGTTTGCCTTTGATCTAATGTCTGCACATGAGGGAGAACATACGAGTTTTGGTCTTTTGGGACAGGATAATCTCACTCAGAACGATGTTCTCCAATTCCATCCATTTACCTGTAAATGATAACATTTCGTTCTTCTTCATGGCTGCATAAAATTCCATTGTGTATAGATACCCCATTTTCTTGATCCATTTGTCAGTAGTGGGGCATCTTGGCTGTTTCCATAACTTGGCTATTGTGAATAGTGCTGCAATAAACATGGGTGTGCAGTTGCCTCTGGAGTAACCTGTGTCACAGTCTTTTGGGTATATCCCAAGAGTGGTATTGCTGGATCATATGGTAGATCAATGTTTAGCTTTTTAAGTAGCCTCCAAATTTTTTTCCAGAGTGGGTGTACTAGTTTACATTCCCACCAGCAGTGTAGGAGGGTTCCTTTTTCCCTGGCATCCTCGCCAACACCTGTTGTTGGTGGTGTTGCTAATGATGGCTATTCTAACAGGGGTGAGGTGGAATCTTAGTGCAATTTTAATTCGCGTTTCCTTTATTGCTAGATATGGTGAGCATTTTTCCATGTGTTTTTTGGCCATTTGAATTTCTTCTTTTGAGAAAGTTCTGTTTAGTTCACTTGCCCATTTCTTTATTGGTTCATTAATTTGGGGAGGATTTAGTTTTTTAAGTTTCCTATATATTCTGGCTATCAGTCTTTTGTCTGATGTGTAGCTGGTAAATATTTTCTCCCACTCTGTGGGTGGTCTCTTCAGTTTAGAGACCATTTCTTTTGTTGAAGAGAAGCTTTTTAGTTTTATGAAGTCCCATTTATTATGCTATCTCTTAGTTGCTGTGCTGCTGGGGTTCCATTGAGAAAGTTCTTGCCTATACCTATTAATTCCAGAGTATTTCCTACTCTTTCCTGTACCAACTTTAGAGTTTGGGGTCTGATATTAAGATCCTTGATCCATTTTGAGTTAATCTTGGTATAGGGTGATATACATGGATCTAGTTTCAGTTTTTTGCAGACTGCTAACCAGTTTTCCCAGCAGTTTTTATTGAAGAGGCTGTCTTTTCTCCATCATATATTTTTAGCACCTTTGTCAAAGACAAGTTGGTTATAGTTGTGTGGCTTCATATCCAGGTCCTCTATTCTGTTCCACTGGTCTTCATATCTGTTTTTGTGCCAGGCTGCAGTCTGCAATGATGTGTGCATAAAAGAATGTAATCCACAGGCATCTGTAAACCAGAGCCTGTGCAGGGCATGGCATTTTCACATGCGCCTGCCTCATGGGTTATAAACATCATGACCAGGCCTTAGGGCAGCAGGTGTGAGCTGGAACCACAGAAAAGGAAAGAGCAAACAGACTACCACAGGAGCCTCCTTCACCTCATCATTCCTGCAGCAGTAGAAGCAGCTAGATAATTGTTTCCCTAAACAATCACTTTAGCATCTCCATCTCACCTTCCTCCAAGCTGGGAAGCATTCCTAATGGCTAAGAGCATGCACTTGAGGAGCTGGAGGTGTAGCTCAGTGGTAGAGTCTAGCATGTGTGAGGCACCAAGGGGGGGGGGGCGGGAGGAAACATGCAATTGGAGTC